GAAAAATAAACGCATCTCGTTAGTAGTTACTGGTAACGCAGTAACGCATGCGTTACTCGTTACCAGTAACGCAATAACGCATGCGTTACTGCGTTACCTGTAAAGAAACGGTAAAGCGCCACCCCTATCTTGTACTATAGCATCGCTGCTCTCTTTTCGTTCTTATTACATGTTCTTTGCTTTCTCACTTTCATTCGTATGTGCGTCCTCTGTTGTGTCCTGCAGCTTTGTGAATCTAAGTGACATGTACGTGACATAACCGCATGAATCATGTCTTGCTCTATGTTGCTCCAATGTGAACAAATTCGTTCTTTTCAATAAAAATAGTGCTTTTTCATTCAAATAGCATAAGAACGACTTCTGTCTCTTACGACGTGAAACATGAAAATAAAGTTTTTCCAACTTTCCTTCCCGTTTTTACGAAATCAAAACTGAAGGATTACTCGTATTTTTCTCCTTCTCTGTTTCTCATATCTGATGAGATATACGTCTCGTTTTATTCGAAGTACTTTTCATTTTCTTTCTAGACACTACAGGTGTGTTCTCTTTGCACATTAACATTATCATTTTTCATTTCATATAAATTTTCCTAATAGAAATTTCCATCTTATTTATTCATCGCTTTATATATACCATACAGTCGTTCTCTTGATACAAATAAATGTGAGAGTGAAGCTGAAAGAGATATAATCCGATCATGGCATCATCCAATCAAACAATTCATCATTATAATATCGTATGTGACCGATTGTTTGCACTTAAATCATGGAATTATCATCAAAAGTCTTGTTTACTTCACACGATCGTCAATTGGACGAGTCAGTTCGAAATGTCAATGCCAACGAAATTAGAAATGAACATGCAATGCTTACGTGAACTTTTGGCGAACAATTTCGTTATCAAACCAGTTTTGCCAGTAGAGACTATTCTTAAAGTTATACAATCAGACGATATTCCGGCTGAAGTATGGCTCGATTGTCTCCGGGCTGCAGTTCAATCAGAGTCGAATAATAATAATCAAAATAGTATTTCATTTGATTTTGCACCAGTGATTATGCCAACAATGGATTTTCATCTACAACCATCAACACTATCCAAATCGGATTCATCGGCACATCGATTTCAATCAAAATAAAGGGTATTTTCTATTTTTCAGAAGTCAGATCGAAATTTATATTTAGTATTCCATTCGACTAAACATTCACATATTTAAATTCTGATTTACTTTGAGACTTGCTAAACAAATTTCTTTTTCTAATCATTGAGAAGTCAGTAGATTGTATTCTGCAACATTGTTTTTCTAAATCTATCATGACAGGACGGATTCTTTGAAGAACTATCTGTTACCTCTTTTAGTATGGTTGATAGCTCATCCTTGGACGAAATGAATCTCACGCATCAACTTCTTTCATTTGAACCGTCGTCAACGACACCGAAGGTACCGATCTATCCTGTTCCAAATGAAGAACCATTGAATGAATATCGAATGATTCTGCTTGAAAATCTTGATGAATTATCTCAATTAAAATGGGATCATTCAGCGATTCTGTCGCTCAAGAATAAATTTACGAGTTCAGAAATAAGCAATAATATTTCACCACTAAAAACAGCCTTGCTCGTCGTCGAAACGGTTGTTACAAATAGAATCTCACTTCCGACGCACATCCAGCGTATTGTCAAGACAATTACTACGTCTCCAGCCCGTCAATGGATGAATGAATTGAACAAAATTGTTGACGAACAAGGCGAGGCCAAATCGGTACCTGTACTTCTTGAAGAACTAGCCCGTGAAAATCCATCATTAAATATAACCGAATTGGAGCAACGATATCAAATAGTAATGGATCATTACAAAGCACAAACATCTCAATGGACATCGACAAATATTCAACAATCTATCTTTAATGATGAGCTCAAGACGATCGCCATCATTATTCGAGCGGCACATCTTCACAAGCAATATCGTCCAAGAGATATTCAAATTTTATCTCTTCTTCTCTTAATCGGAAATCCACATCTAGGTCAAGGACGATTGGCACAAATACGCACCGGTGAAGGCAAATCGATCATTGTTTCAATGTGTGAGTTCAGAACTCAAATGTGAAAATTTGATGTTTTTAAGAATATCTTTTTAAAATTTAACTCTAACCATTCATAATACGTAGATATGATCAATTAGGGTAGTATTCTAGCATTTTCTCGCAAACAATGCATCTCAAACGTTTTTTAACATAGATCTATCCGTCAACTACAATGAGTTAACTTTTTTAGCAACGCTGTTTTCTTCATTAGGGAAAACCAATGCGTGCGTATATATTTTTAAGAAGACAGCCAACTCGTATTTTGACATGATATCAGCTTCTCGATGAAAAAAATGAAATATAAGTCACAGTTGTCCGTACAAAAAAATATTTTATCGGTACTGGTTATGCACGGTTGCGCACTGGTGCCGAATAATTTTTTTCTGGACACCGATGCCCATCGGTGTGAAAAAGTATGTAAAAATCTCGTACCGGTGTGCATTAGTGCAGAAGTTTTGTTTTCAATCACCATTTTGTTTTGTTAGTTTCTGTCTATATTAACATCACAGTATACTTTTAATATTTTGAATGTCTTTCTGACTTTATCTTTTCCTTCTCATAAGAGAAGTGCCAAGGTAATGTCGCATGATTTTGGCATGTGAATGTGGTACTAATCAGTGCCGCATTCAAATACAAAATTCAGTATAAACAACTATAATAAAAACTAATAAATTGATTAAATAACTTTCAGTGCGGCACCCATGTGGCACTGATTTTTACCAGTGCGGCACTTTTTGGGCAGAAGTATATCGGCACGGATGCCAATTGGCACTGGTTCGGCACTTGCGAGGCATGAATGCGCATCGGTGCCTGCCAGTGATCGATGGCATGCCATGCACACCGGTGCGCACTGGCAGTGCCGCATTGAAACATTTTTATAGGGATCTCACTTGCTTTTTTAAATTTATAGTGTCATAAATTGGCTCCTAATTGAATTAATTTGAAGATGTAGTAGTGAAACGACAGAGCCAGTCTGGAAGGTTTCTGTTACATGAAGTTTATTAGCAACACTAGGCAAAAAGTGTGCATTCAACTTTCATATAACATATCGGAAGCGTAGTCAGCACCTTGAGAGTGGAAAAAGGTTTTTGTAATTATTTATCACAAAGTAAATTATGATTTTATCGAATTTCATAATTGAGTCTTCTCAAAAAGTGACTACATTCGACACATGTTTCTAATATGTCTCGTTTGTTTTTCTATAGTGGCTGTCTATCTTTCACTTCCTCCATTGAGTAAACGTGTCGATATAATCACAACCTCTGAAATTCTCGCTCAACGTGATGCCAATGAATTTGCACCATTCTATCAAATGTTTAATCTTTCCGTTGGACACAATTGTTGTGAGACTCCGAATTACAATGTTCATATTGTCTACGGAACAGTCTCTCATTTTGCTGGTGATCTTCTACGTACCGATTTTTATTTGCAAACAGAAATACGTGGTAATCGACGTTATGAGGCAGCCATTGTTGACGAAGTCGACAGTATGTTCATTGATCAACGTCAACACTACACACAATTAGCATCGCTGACACCCGGCTACAAATCGTTGAATGTTATCTTGAGATTCATCTTTTCGTTCTTTCAAAAGTTTAATATTACTGAAAAGAATGAATTTGTCATTCGACAATCGAATGGATATTTCAAAGGTGAGAAATTGTTCAGTGGCAAAAACAATGATTAGAATTGCTGTTTTTTTAGTCGATGCTCTGACCTTTATTCGTAAAAAAATGGCTGATAGAGAACTTGTTCGATATTCGACCTATCGTCAAAAGTATATAGATGCTAAGTTGCCTAAATGGATAAAAGGTGCAAGAGAAGCACTCTACGATCTAATACTCAATGTCAACTACGTTATTAGTCAAGATGGACGAATTGTCGTCGTAGATTATGCAAACACAGGTGTGTCTCATTTGAATATGCACTGGAGTGATGGTATTCATCAATTTCTTGAACTAAAACACAATTTACGTATGACACCCGAACGGATGTGTGATTCATTCTTTTCCAATGTTACTCTTTTCAAACGATATCAACCTCATCTATATGGAGTAACAGGAACATTGGGTGGCAAGCATGCACGAAATTTTATTCGATCCGTCTATCAGCTCGATGCTTTCAATGGGCCCAAATATATCGACAGTGTTTTCAATACCTATCCAAGTAAGTTCGACTGTGTCATAGTCTCGAACGACTTGAAACGCGGTTTTCCTTGGAGTGATCTACAAATCTCAAAGAGTCTTGAACCCGATAATTACAAATCGATTTTTTGAATTCTTCAATTTGAAGCCTTTTTTCAAATTTGTATCCAGTCTCGCACAGTTCGCAAACATTTGATTCCATTTTCCAGAGAAACATCTGCCATTTCGACAGTCCACTCAAAAGATGCTTTCTCTATAGGTCAATTCAGTAGAACTCGTACAGAATGGTTGAATAAGCTTCGAATCGAATGTCATACGGTAGCTATTACTAATCATCGAGCTGTTCTGATTATTTGTGAAACAATTTGTGAAGCTGAAGATATTCAATCGTCATTACGTTCTCAACATCCTAATTTGAAATCCTATCTTCGAAGTGATCTACCTGAACATGTTAAACCTGAAGAAGTCCATCTGGGTGATGTGATCGTTGCCACAAATCTAGCCGGACGAGGAACTGATTTGAAAACGATGACAGCCGTCAATGATCGAGGTGGTCTACATGTCATTGTGACATTTATGCCGAGAAATTCACGGATCGAACAGCAAGCATTTGGACGAGCCGGACGACAAGGTCAACCGGGTTCGGCTCGATTAATCGTTTACAGTAAACATATTGGTCTGTCATTGGAAGGAAAAATCGACGAGAATCAAATAATCGGTATTTGGAAAGACGTGCTAGATCAACGTGAAGAAAGTAACATGGCCGAAGGTGTGACAGAAGTTAAGCAAATCGAGGCTAAAGATCATCTTCTCGTTCGATTTCTCGATCTAACCCATTCGCAAAAGAGTAATCTTCCGTTTGCTAATGACATGTTCAAACCAGGTTTCAGTTCACTTCGTGAATCGTGGGCTTCGTTTTGTGATGTAGATGTGGCTACAGCCGAACAGGGTTATCCAGAATTTGAGGCAAATATTCAAAAGCAGCTCAATACGTCAATTGACATTTTAAATAAATATCCGCCCCTAAATCCAAATGATTTGCTCGACCTTCAATTTCAAGCAGTCAGTCATCTAATTGTTCATCCAAAATATTTCATCTACGCTGGTTTTCACGCCTTGTGTACGGATGACTTAAGTGATAAAAAAGGACAAGCATTGAAATTATACGAACGCGCATTACGAATTGATTCAGAAGACTTCATTGCACATTATAATACGGTACCGTGTCATATTGAAAATAGTCAAGCATCTATCAATCTGGCTATACACGCATTGGATGAAGTACTTCGATTGCTTCATCTAGAAATTGAAACACGCAAATTGTTGGAAATTTTTCATGATCCACCGACCTCAAACGACGGTGAAACAAAAGTGCGTAGAAACAAAAATTCGAAAGATTAATTCTGAATCTAATTCTAATTGTAGGCGAATGGACCCATCGATCAAACCAGTCTCGCCGAATTGATCTATCTTCACATCGTTCACTCAACTGTTGAGGATAGCCGTAAACAGTTGACCGAATTCGACGAAGATAAACATGATATATCTTGTCAATTTAAACATTGGCCAGAGACATTAGCCTGTTTAAAAGGCACAAAGTTTGAACCGTTAACAAACGATATTGATGCGGAACGCGAAGAATGGCTCGGTGAAGGATTAATGTGGCGGTACGTATTTGTCATTCAACTAAAACGATGTTGGTGGAAAACTGTGTTTGTATTTGTCATGGGAGTGGCACAGATTGTTGGTGGAGCATACTTGTGCCTTAAAGGTCAATTGCGATTAGGTACATCGTTGATTCTCGATGGAGCTCTGGATGTTTATAAAGCTGTTGGTAAGTCGTAATAAAATGTTCTGTTTAAGAAAAACACAAATTTGAATGAATTATAGCGACAAAAATAACAGCCGATTTCGATCTGACCGGTTACTTTGAAGCTAAAGTGATCAAATATGGCAAACAATTATTGGGCACTGGTGGACCTCTATCCGGTTGTCTCGATCCAGTTCTCTCATTTGAACAAATAAAAATGGTCGGCGTCGCTGTTGATGCTGTTCGTCAAATTGCTGAAAACGGATTCTCTGTGGATACTCTAACACAACTCGCTCTCAGTGGAATGACTATTGCAGGTGTGGATCAGAAAGCAATTGATTTCGTTCAAAAACTACCGGAACGAATCGAATGTGCAAAAGCCTTGCTCAACGGCGATGTAAATATACTATTGAAATACGGCGGTTCGGTCGGCCTTCCCTTCAAAGCCATTCAGCAGATTGCTACAAACGGATTTTCTGTAGAAACTGCTACTCAGCTCGCTGTCGATGGAATGGCTATTGCAGGCGTTGATCAGAATACTATCAATGTAGTTAAACAACTACCGGAACGAATCAAAGATGCACAAGCATTGGTCAGTGGCGATATAAATCGAATATTGGAACGAGGCATTTTGGCCGGTCTTCCTCTCAACAGTATTCACTACATGACTAGAAATGGAGTTTCCCTGGAAAGTGCTACTCAACTAGCTCTCGATGGTATGGCTATTGCAGATGCCGATCAGAAAGCAATTAATTTAGTTAAACAACTACCGGAACGAATTAAAGATGCACAAGCTTTGCTCAGTGGCGATATAAATAAAATGTTAGAACGAGGCGTTTCGGCCGGCCTTCCTCTTAAAGCTATTCAACAGATTGCCACAAAAGGATTTTCTGCGGAAACTGCAACGCAACTCGCTCTGGAGGGTATCACTTTGGCAGGCGTCGATCTGAATAGAGTTAATTTTATTAAAAAACTACCGGAACAAATTAAAGAAGCACAAGCATTGCTTAACGGTGATATAGATCAAATACTGGAACGAGACATGTTGCCCGGCGTTCCTGACAATGTTATTCGTCAAATTTTCACCAATGGCGTTTCTATTGAAACTGCTACACAACTCGCGCTTAAGGGAATGAATGCTGCGGGTGTGGATCAGAAAGCCATTGATTTTGTTAAACAATTACCGGAACGAATGAAAGATGCAGAAGCATTGCTCAGTGGTGATATAGATATAATGTTGAAGCGCGGCATGTCGGCTGGCCTTCCTCTCAATGCTGTTCATCAGATTGCCACAAAAGGATTTTCTGCGGAAGCTGCTACACAACTCGCTCTGGAGGGTATGGCTATTGCAGGTGTCGATTCAAATAGAGTCAATTTCGTGGGAAAGCTACCGGAACAAATCAAAGATGCGCAAGCATTGCTCAGCGGCGATTTTAATGAAATATCTAAACGAGGCATGTTGGCTAACGTTCCTGTCAATGCTATTCGTCAAATTGCTGCAGAGGGTGCCTCTGTGAAAGCTGTTACGAAAATTGCTCTCACGGGGATGGATATCGCAGGCGTCAATAAGACTACACTGGATTTTGTTAAAAAACTACCCGAAGGAATTAAAAATGCAGAAGTATTGCTCAACGATGATCTAGAAAAAATGTTGAGACAAAACATGTCACGCAGCGTGGATCAATTGTTGGGAATGTTCACTGAGCAATCATTGTTCAACGGCAAAGAAAAAGAGATGTTCCAACTTGTTCGTCGAATGCCTATGGTACAAGATGTGATCAACCGTAATGGTCAAACTGTTCTTTCAGACGCTCTCAGTACGTTGGGTGAACATGTCAGCAATTTGCCATTAACCGATTTGCTTGACATTGCTCTACCAACTGCTGTTCAACGTGTCGCTGACCGTGAAAACAAAGATATTCATGATCTTTTCAAGACAACTATTGATCAACTACAATCATCTAGTACAGGCTTCGACGAACAAACGGTTCGACTGATAAACCAAATTTTAAAATCCTCCGACAAATGGGCTACTTTCGAAACGATCAAAACTCAATTGGATATCAATGTTCGTCAATTACTCAGTCTGGTCATTGAACGTGAAAGGCAATTCAAGAATGATTGTGATCGCTTGACTAACAATAGTCAAGCGATTGACGACTATCGTCGAGCTTTCAATGTCACCTTTGGTACGGCTCAAACGCGACGGGCTGATTTGAAAAGAAAAATTGAGCGAAATGTGAATTCGGACTGTTCATTGCTGAAACGAGCAATGATTGACTTTGTTGATGAAGTAAGCAATCAAAGAAGTGGAACAAGAAGTCCGGAGGTGATGAAGTTACTCAAAGAACATTTCAACGAAAGTGTCGTACGACCCATTGCAGAGAAGGCATGCGAACGACAAATGGATGAAAATGATACTAAACTTGTTGACAATTTTACCAAAGCAATCACCTATGTGCAGAAACAACAGCAACAAACTCAACGTTAAACAAGACACCTTCGCTTCCTTTTTCATTTTTATATAAACCAGAGTAGAAAAGAACTGAATATTTCTTTGATAACTACATTGTATGAACTCGGCTTGAATGAAAAAGAGGGAAGTGTGACACGAGATCAAGACCACTGTCCTTTTTGTGACTACTGATTTATGCAACAAATAGTTACAAAAGAGAAAACGAGTCTTGAAGTACAATAGTTTTATTCGGAAACAGTTGTTGAAAAATCAGTGAGATTCGAAGAAGTTTATAAATTCGATCACTCAACAAGGAGAGAAATGAATTAAATGTTCACCATTTTTTTCACTGATTAGTTCTAAGACAAGATCGTTTGGTTTCACTCGATGCACTATCGAATAATCATGATGATAACTGTCAACATCAACTACAAGATTTACTTGATCAAGCGCCACGTCTATCTTCAATACGCATTTGTTGGAAGACTTTGACAAGTTCTCTAATGCAGCTTCTCAAAAGCCCACATTTATCAGTATACCAGCTGGAATTATTAAGCTATGGATGATCCTTGAACAGAGAGCAATGTATGACGTTGAATAGTATCATACCCTGGTATTCTGAAAAGAGTGTCAAAAGTTGCATCGAATGAGGTATCTGAGTGTAAGCCAAAGTTATTTTTAATAAAGTTTTGTTTAATAGTAAAATTAACTAATTTTACGATTAAGCTCATCGGTGCCTAATCTCGATCTACGAAAATTATTTGCATCATTGCGCTGGATATAGCATTTAATTCTCTACAAAACGAGGGACTTTGCGACCAATACAATTCCAATACTATATTGGGATCCCTCATGATCATGCGCATCCACAGACATTAATCAGAGACATAGCAAATTTCAATTAAACACTTCTATCAATTAAATGAAATAAATAATAAATTAGATCACGGTATCACAAAATGTGATTTGAATGTGAAACATAGACATAATTTCGCTTCTTGTCAAAGAATCAGAATTTGTACTTGATTTATTAACTAAAAATGCGAATACCAATAATAAATATATTTATTTACTATTATTAAATTTATTAACTTGTTAACTTTTTAATTTTTGATGAAAATAATCAAAAATGGGTTATTTCATCTAGTATAGGTTTTCACTCGGTTGTTACATTTTGTTCTGAAGACTAACATTACCAAGAGATTCACCATGGTCGAAAACCTATGTGCGCAATCATTTTTATTGGTCACAGTTCTAACACAAGGGCAGCATCGTGCGGAGAAAAGTCTTGCTAGGCCCCCACCGTCGATTTTGAAGATGTCACTTGGCTCGGGTTTTGTAGAGGACTGTTCGAACTATAAGCACGTCGAAAAAACTCAGCATATTTATGTGTCACTTCTTGGAGCTACGATCTGGTTTTCAAAAGATCCTCTGAAAAATCGGTCTTCGAAATTGTCTCAAAAACTATTTTTGCTTGTGCAAAGATGCGTACAAGTGTTACCTATTGAATACCGGAAACCGCAGGTCTCTACCTCATGACGGCCAAAAGTTATTCAAAAACTAACCGACTGCCTTGTATTTTGAAGCCGATAATAACCTAAAAAAGCATTATATTTACACGTAAATACGTGTATAAGAATTACACGTAATTACGGTGTTAATAACGGTCATAGTCGTAATTAAGCTGGAACTTACGGCGACCTTTCTGCGTGTTTATGCGTATATTTTTCGTACATGTCCTCTATTTTGCTTTGATCGAATTCAAATATATGTTCAGATCTTTTGTACGATCTATCGTTTCGCAAGGAAAGTACAATAGTATTCTTTCATTGCTTCACCCACATTGAAGACTAGAAAAAAATAGAAAATTATCATTATCATCAAATATCTTGAACGTGGGTCAGCGAGGAAAAGTGGTGTCTCGTGTACAACTCGACGAGATCTATCCAAATACATCTTGATCTTGTTTATCCAATTCATATTAGCTGAGAAAAATACATTTTATTCCTTTTGCCACTGAATATAAGTGAAATTTAATATTTTCATCAAATATTCTCTGTTGAACGTGTGTCAGCAAGGAAGAGTAGTGTGTCATGTAGAACGCGACATGCCATAGATACATTTAATGAATTATTAGAGGAAATGAGCGGTAAAGCTGACAGAACAGACTCATCCACGACCTCAGACAGCGAATCAGAGTAAGAATCTTGTTGATTCTTTGTCAACTGTTCTATTTGCGCCTTTCTGTGCTGGAGTTTTATTTACAATTGAACCCTTTCTTCGTTTTCTCAATACAATTATATTCTTTTCTTTGTATTGTTCATATTACTTTCACAATGGGCGAACGAATAAAATGTATTTTTCTCAGCTAATATGAATTGAATAAACAAGATCAAGATATATTTGGATAGATGTCGTCGAGTTCTACACGAGACACCACTTTTCCTCGCTGACCCACGTTCAAGAGAGAATATTTGATGACAATGATAATTTTTTTATTTTTTACTATAGTCTTCAATGTATAAAATATGGACCAGTATGACTTTTTTTGCATCAGTTTCTACCCACTGTAACGAAAACAACTTGTTTTTTTTTACAGTGCGGGTTAGTTTTCAAGGTAACGTAACTACACGTTACGTTACCTAGTTATTTTCTAACATCACGATGTGTTTAATCACGTGCTTTTGGACGGTTTCATGGATCACTGCACAAAATGTATACGACAGTACTCTTAAGACTAAACCATTTTGTTTTAACAAATTATGGACTATTCAACATAATGGAAGGACCACATCCGTCTGTTGTCACTGAAAATGAGATTAAATATCATAAATCAATTTCAAATCTTAGAAACAAACTTCATAGGGAAATGAACGTTTCCTTGTCAACAAACGCTCTCTCATCACCTTATGAATTGCCGTTTGCTCTATTAAAAAAAATCCCTAGTGGAATAAAATCAAGCGATTATATTAATGCTCTCATTCATTTATATCGTGGTGAATTAGGTCGACAAGTAGCATATCGAATTCGTTTAGATACAACAACAAATTGGGCTGTAACAACAACAGCTGGCCTCACTGTTCTGTCTTTGGGACAACAGCAAATACCACATTATTTTCATTCATTAATTGCATTTTTTCTAGTTTTATTCTGTATAATTGAATCTCGGCGTTACAGTTATTATGCTGTTATTCAATATAGAGTACATCAATTAGAAAAAGGGTTTTACGGACAGTATATCGTTGGACCAGAACGAGAAGAAAATGGTCAAATTAAAGATCTCCCTAGTATGCAAGATGAACAACAACAGCAATCAAAAATATTGCCAAATCCATCGTTGTGGATGTGTGCATTACAACGATCACTTTTGCATCCACATCGTATTCATTTTCAACACGTATGGAATGGTTTTCAAATTCGACTGAAACGCGTGTATTATCCATTGTTAGTTGGTACCTATGCTGGATGGATTATTAAATTATTTATTACACCAAATGGATTCAATGATAAAAGTCATACATATTTGGCAATCGGCTTTGGATCTTTCATGGCTCTGCTTGGTCTATATTTATATTATATTGGGCCATATGTAGACGATTATAAACAATTAAGACATATGGGAAACATAGATAAATGCTGCAGTATATCATCATTATTGAAAATTCTATGTGGTAAATATGATGGCGCAAATAAATTAAAACACGAAATAGATGTATGAATATGGAATAATAGCAAATATGAGAGATTCCTTGGCTTGGGAGAACAAGTGAGACAATCTCAGAGATAAAAACGTGTCTGCATAGAAAACCTATGGTTTAAAGTATAACTCCTCCATCTATTATAAGGATTCCTTCTGATTTAAGAAAAAGTTTATACTAAACCAGGATATAAAAAGTCACAGGTAAACGAACGAACGAGGTTAACCATTAGAAAGTTGGGTGGTACTTTTTCCATGATGAAGAGAATGCTGAGAAAATTTAGCTCTATACATAAAATTAAATGAATATGCCGACGCCATAAATTTTAGAATTTGATTTCAACTTTTCTCTGATGTCAACATAATCTATGCGGTTTTTTCCCTTATTCTTATGGCCCATAGCAACGCTCCTATTGGCACCATTAAGCGCCAATGGTTACACTATTTGCTCTAGCTTCGCTTATAGAGTACAATATACGGAAACTTGCTGTTTCTTGAACTGCAATTATTAGGATTAAATTCGGCATACTTTAGCGCATAGAAAGAGCATAAACAAGATCAAAGGAGGCGCTCTCTGCACTAAAACAGGAATAAGTGCGCGTGCGCCGTAGAAACGGCGCCAGATTTGACAGATAATGACTCAGTTTTTCCTTATAGAAGGGCTAATTAAAGATTGTAAACGTTTCACCCCTTTGCACTATGCTCCCGAACATAGTGCGGTAAGTAGATAATTGCAATAATTGCAGGAATGCCTTACCTGCTACTATCACTACAATTTCAGCCTTAAGAAAATTCCGTTCTGCCATAAACGATTATTTTTTTTCCTACTATAAATGGCCGAGATTCTAAAACATTGAAAGAAAATATGACATGATTCTCAATCAAATGCACGTAAATTTTTCTCGCTTGAATGATGATCTCTATAAAAAAAACTTAGTTAGTAGCTCTCAGTGTGCTTGTGGGAAGGCTGAAACAGTACAGCATTTCTTTCTGGAGTGTCAATATTACCAACGGAGACGAACTATCTTTGAAAATCACTTGAATGCTCTAGTAAATGATACCCTCACTCTTGAACACATAGTCTTTTTAAAACCTGCACCATCTTTAAACGTTATTAACCGTGTATTGTTTTTATACATGTATTCTGGTGCTGTCCTCTGTCCTCAGTCAATTTATGTTAAGATGTAAAGGGTTAGCCTTCTTCTTCTCATAATTTCTACTGACTTTTTTAACATTTCTTCTAAACAAATAAAGTTTATATCAAGAAATTAATTTAGTGCGTTTCTTGTAAATTCTGTAACTTTGCAAAGAAAGGTCGTATAGAGCTGGAAGATGTCCC